AATACTGTTTTCACCTTTTTGCTGCTGATCTCCTCTATCAGCCACTTGCTGTCTACATGTACTTGCTGCAGCATTGGCTGCACATCATTGTTGTGGACCGACTTTTTCATGATGACAGGCCTGCACATTCTGTTTTGGCTCAATGACTATAGTCTCCACCAGGGGCGCATGTGACAGGGTGACAACACTAGAGAGCAATTGGGAGACAGGGCAGAATGCTGTCACCTCATAAAAGGAAATAGCTGAGCAAGGACCTTTATGGCAGAATAACCCGGTATAGTTTTAGTAAAATCTGTACATTTTTTAAAATGTTTAAAAACAACTTTTGAAATGAAATAAACATGACAAAGCTTCTATGAGAGTTTAGTGTTTGGGTTTGGATCATAATAAATTTACTGAAAGAAAGCACAGCTTTTCAATCTCTGTAAAATTAAAAGGCTGCATTTTACATAAGTGATACATTTGTTTTAACATCTATAGTACTCTCAATCTAAAAAAAGTAACTTAATAAAGTATTTGTAAACCCAAATATTGAAATCATGAGTTTACTTCCAGCTAGCAATGTCTCCCCTTCAAGCCCCGTCCTTCCTTGCTGGAGAAGATAAATATTACATTTTATTCATTCCCACGGCATGCTTATCCTGGATGTCATGGCCATCTCGTGTACTAGTGTAGTCAGCCTGTCTAGAAACAAGGCAGCCATGCCTCCTGGACCTTGGTTTAGATACACAGAGGCTCCTTTATGGAGTACCGCTGTCAATACATTAGTGCAGCATGGACATTTCGAGTCTCTGCCTCCAGGCCTGCCCATTGCTTTAGACTGACAGCAGCACCTATACGAAATACTCATATCAGTACATTAATGTAGTGTGGGTGTTTTGAGTCTCCATCTGCAGCCCTCTGGGTGCAAAAGGGAGACTTGGTGACCACCACCACCACGTGACTGCCACTGAAACAATAAAATAATTGTTCTTCTATATTTTATGAAGGCGTGTTTAGGGACACTATAAACTGTGCTATTGTGTGTTTACAATCTATGACTTTACAGCTACTTTAATGTTTCTAAAAACTGCAGGTGTAGCATTTTAATGTGTCTGAACTCTGGCTGTTTGAAGAAAACATTAATTCACTAGGTATTCTTACAAAGCTCATAGGTTGTTTTGATAAAAGCACTAACTTTAACACTATGAGATTGAGCTCTTCATATCATAGATAAAACCACCTGGTATTGCAGTGGATTTAAGCCGTTTTTGATAATTAAAGCAAGAGTAAAAAGGGCCCTGGTATACACTGATAAACATCTGTTAAAATGATGCATCTGCAACATATAGTTGTCCACAGTACAAACCTTAGACATTTTTGAGGCTGTGCTTTTTGTTTTCTCTCGTGTTTGTCTACATCTGATTGGATTACATTTGAACACTCGCACTACAGATAAGCTGCTTTAAGCTTAGTTTATCCAAGCTTGTAAGGTATTGTAGCCAGTGTTTTTTTACTACAGTGATTTGCTGTTTTCACGATTAATGTGATTAGGGGGAAAAAGAAATTCCTTTATTTTTTATTTTTCTGTTCTTCACATAAACAACCAGTTAAATGTATATATTGGTATTAAAGTGTATCAATAAAAATTATCTTAATTACTAAATTGATGATGAAGCATACTATGAATATGTAGATTTAAAGATGTCAGTTTGCAGCTTTTCAAACAAGCAGTTTGGTTTGTCAAAGATAAAACCTTAAATACAAAGGGTTCTCTTAAATGCAGGTGGGTGGAGTGTACGTCTAAAATTTGCTGCAATTTGGAGATGGAAGTTCCAGAGCTAAGATTTTTACAAAAAAAGCTATAGTGAACTGAAAATAATAATGATGGCAATGAACTGTCTGATTGCAACATGTTCATGGTAGTAGTGATGATATATTAGATAGTTACTAACAACACTGATTTACAATAAACTTTTGTTATAAACATTTTCTTTACACATAGCTGACTTCCAGAAGCCAACCTTCTCATCTTAAATTTGTATAATATGGAGCGTATAACTGTTTTTGTTTCTGTTTTCTATCCCTATCTATTATCGTAAGGACCGAGGCCAGCTTATTACCTATGCACTATGTTAACACATTGCAGGGCACCACAGTGCAGTGCCTTGTGGTTGCTTGCAAGGGTCAAAGGAGCATTTTCTTAGTGCATTGGGGTGCCATGCAAAATTAATGCAATGCAGTGTTGTGCAGCCCGCACTGACCACCCTGGGTGGTCAGTGCGGGCTCTGGGTGGTCAGTGCGCTTGTCAGTGCGGGCTCTGTGTGGTCAGTGCGGTGGTCAGTGGGGGCTCTGGGTGGTCAGTGCAGTGGTCAGTGCAGGCTCTGGGTGGTCAGTGCGGTTGTCAGTGCGGGCTCTGGGTGGTCAGTGCAGTGGTCAGTGGGGGCTCTGGTTGGTCAGTGCAGTGGTCAGTGCGGGCTATGGGTGGTCAGTGCTGTTGTCAGTGTGGGCTCTGTGTGGTCAGTGCGGTCAAGTGGTCAGTACGGGCTCTGGGTGGTCAGTGCAGGCTTTGGGTGGTCAGTGCTGTGGTCAGTGTGGGCTCTGGGTATTCAGTGTGGGCTCTGGGTAGTCAGTGTGGGCTCTGGGTGGTCAGTGCAGGCTCTTGGTGGTCAGTGCAGGCTCTTGGTGGTCAGTGTGGGCTCTGGGCAGTCAGTGTGGGCTCTGGGCAGTCAGTGTGGGCTCTGGGCAGTCAGTGTGGGCTCTAGGCGGTCAGTGTGGGCTCTGGGTGTTCAGTGCGGTGGTCAGTGTGGGCTCTGGGCGGTCAGTGCGGTGGTCAGTGTGGGCTCTGGGTGGTCAATGCAGGCTCATGGTGGTCAGTGTGGTCTCTGGGTGGTCCGTGCGGGCTCTGGGTGGTCAGTGCGGTCTTTGGGTGGTCAGTGTGAGCTCTAGGTGGTAAGTTGGTGGTCAATGTGGGCTCTTGGAGGTCAGTGCGGGCTCTGGGTGGTCTTTAATTTAAAAAGTAAAGATCCACACAGTGTCTCTACCATTGGTCATTTATCTGATCATATTGTATGAACACGGTGCTCATATAGGATGATCAGATGCATGGCCAATGGCAGAGACACTGTGTGGAACTTTACTTTTGAAATTAAAAAGGACAGCAGACGGTGCCCAAGGCTGAATAGAGGCCCGACGCTGGCAAAGCACCCTCTTTGGTTTCGTGGAATCCTACGGTGCCAGAGTTTGCTAGGGGTTCCTTGAGCAGTGGTGAATTGAACACTTATCTGATAGCACCTTCATAGTTCCAGGGCCATGGTCACTTGGCAGAACCAACAGCATGACACCAGCGACCTCTTTAGCTGTGTATATGTGCTGCATTCCTCCCACTGACTCCACCATTAGTAAAGTATTCTTTCCACTGAGCAACAATAAAATGGTGCACATTTTTCACTGACCAGTAATGTAAGACACATTCTTACTCTCAGTTAACATAGATGTAGGGGGCATATCTCTCAGTAACTCATAATTTAAGGTTGCACTTCTCCCTCTGACCACCAATGTAAGGGGACACCTCTACCACTGGCTACCAATGTAAAGTGACCTGAACACCAGTGTAAGTAGGCATTTCTCCATTGTCCAGCAAAGTAAGTCTATCTAGCACCAAAACCTGGTTCAATGACCGTGGATTACTGTGCTTGATTGGCCAGCAAACTCGCCTGACCTGAACCCCATAGAGAATCTATGGGGCATTGCAAGAGAAAGATGAGAGACATGAGACCGAACAATGCAGAAGAGCTGAAGGCCGCTATTGAAGCATCCTGGTCTTCCATAACAGCTCAGCAGTGCCACAGGCTGATAGCTTCCATGTCACGCCACATTGAGGCAGTAATTGCTGCAAAAGGGGCCCAAACCAAGTACTGAGTGCATATGCATGCTTATACTTTTCAGAGGTCCCATATTGTTCTATGTACAATCCTTGTTTTATTGATTGCATGTAATATTCTAATTTTCTGAGATTGTGGATTTGGGGTTTTCATGAGCTGTAAGCCATAATCATCACAATTATGACAAATCACGGCTTGAACTATCTTGCTTTGCATGTAATGAGTCTCCCTCATATATTAGTTTCACCTTTTAAGTTGCATTTGTGATATAAATGAACTTTTGCACGATATTCTAATTATTGGAGTTTCACCTGTGTGTATGTGTATATATATATATATATATATACAGGGCTCGAAAATCCGCTCGTCTACGGAGCTTCATTGGGCCGTATTTTCGCACGTATCCATTAGGATACAGCCGGACAGCCCTCGTAAATGCGCGTTTGACGCGCGTTTTGTGGGCTGGAAATCGCGGTTAAAACATGCACCGCAAAACGCGCGTCATACACGCATATTTCGAACGAACTTACAGATCTTGTGAATATATCGTGAGCTGTAGATATAATTTTTCGCAGGGGTTTACTGAGACCTGAGAATTATTTGAATGGTTTCTCTGGGGTAAAAAGATTGAGAAAGTCTGCATTAAAGCCACGGGGACATTAGGAACAGTACATATTTAACAACAGAAAGGGATGAATTTTTTTTACAACTACATTTCAGTTGTGGTTTTTTTTTAATTCTGATTTTACACTCTCCTTTTAATATGCCAACTTCTCTGTATTGTGATGGGCTAAACAAGCCACATACTTTGTAGCCATTCAGGTGGGCTCTTGCACTGCATAGTTATGGGTAGATCTACAGAGTGTACAATTATAGTGTGCAGTGTGTGTCCAACTTTAACAATTTTGGAATTACCAATTTTCAATCAAAATTCCATATCTACGTGTAGCGTTAGAATAAAATTGGCAGTATGAAACAGTGTCTCCAAGTGGTCACATAACAGCAATGCCTTTTTTATATGCACTGGTAATCTTTGTTACTTGTATGACATTTTTGTGTAGTGAATAACTACAATGCAGTTATATATGATATCTATTGGTATATAGGAAAATATTTATTCTCTACCCCAATTTGCAGAGCTGTCAAAATGAAGAAGAAGAAGATGAGGACAAAGAGAAAACATTTGAAGTGAGTTTGTTTTCCCATCTTAATATAATTATGTATTATAAATTGAGTAATGCCCTAAACTAATTGTAATGGTTTCACTAAGGTAATTGCACTAATTTTTCAGCCCTCCTCCTATTTAGTCTCCAGCAGCTAAAACACACAGTTTATTGTACTAAACTACAGAATGTTGATTTTAGTAGCACTGCATTTGGATGGCTTACAGGTTGTTATGAAAATGATACACACTTCTAATTTCTATGTCTGCTTATAGGAAAAAGAAATGGAAAAACAAAAGACATTATACCAGCAGGCTCGTCTACATGAGAGGGGGGCTGCTGAGATGGTGCTTCAGATGATCAGTGCAAGTAAAGGTCAGATTCCATTCTGGGGGAATAAGTGTTCAACAAAGTCATGTATATTGTATCATGAACTCGGTCCGGATTTTTAAGGGGTATGGGTATATTAAAGTTGAACTTCAGGCAAACTGCTTAATACGTGATTGAGATACATACTGCATGTGTCCTGTTTTACTTTCAAAAGGATTTGTATATTGGGCTTGTGATGCACATACTTCTGTAAGTCAGAAAGATCATTTTGCTACTTTCTAATTTAAAGTGTATGTTACCCCTAATTTTAAAAGTCCATATATATGTCTGTGTTTCCATGTAGGTGTGTCTAAATGTAGCCTGTTTACTTTTTATTTATTTGTTACCTATGAAATACCTGGCGATCCTTCTAGACCTCCTCCTGTCTTGTTGCAATCTGACCACTCCAAGTACTGGAGCAGATCAATGCTGGGGTGGGCAGTTTGCATATCAGTGCTTCCTGCTTGGAGTTACAGGAAGCTGTTCTAACCCATGCCCTAGGCCTTTAATAATATTGCACCATGAGCCCTTCCGGGCCCTGGATTTTTCCTGGGTTATATTTCCTTGTAGCCTTTTTGCTAATTCTGCCTCTAATTCTGTGCGCACAGAATAGCTTTTGGCTGAGTTTGTGTTGTTGCCTAGTTTTTTGCCAAGCTATTCCAGCAGTGGTGTGTTGTTGTTTTTTTTAAATTATATCAGAGTGTCTGACAGTTGTATCTATACAGGTATTACCTTCAGTCTGCAGATACAGTCAGTCAGTGTTTGTATGCATGGTTCAACTTTGTTGTCAAAGCTATAAATTCCCCCCACATAACATATTTATGAGCCTCCTACTGCATTATTTGGGGGGGGAAGGGGGGTATCAGGGGTGACGTTGACTGTGTAAATGAGGAAGCCTTATTTAAACGCATTAAGTTGTGCAGTATATGTTAGAAGGTTGCCTGTTTTTCATAACAGCAGTAGTTGTTCACCAGGGTGATCAGCCTCTCACCCAGCTTCCCTGTAAGAAAGAGATAGCAGCCCTCTTTGTCAGTTTTCAGTCATTGTGATCTGTGTATGTTTGGATTGGAGTAGAACAATTAATCCCTTTGTTTGTGAGAATTTGTTGGTGAAGAGGTAGTAATGAAGCAAAAGGGAAGAGAGTGTTAAAGGTGGTACAGGGGCAGAAAGGTTAAGGCAGCAAGGGAGAGTAACAGGGTAAGATGAGTGGTGGGTCTAAGTTGAGAGAGGAAAATAAATGGAAAGCGGGTAGCTAAAGGGTAAATATCCAATTCTGAGTCCCAAAAGACTTTTGCTTGGTAAGGTTCTGTGAGGAGTATGCTTCATAGTGTGTGGGGAGAGTGTAAGGGGTAGTGAGGCTGTACAGCAAGTCTCCCAACACCCCAGAGGGATCTCCTGTGGTTTAGGACCAAGGATGACAATCTTAAGGAAACCTGTAGAAGACTTCTCTTAATGGGTCTCTTGTGTAATATATTGAAGTGAAGTGAGGGTGCAACCAAAACGTAAAACCTAAAATAAATGCAATGGAGTGACATCATACAATTAGACACTGAAATTAGAATGAACAACAGTGGATAACCAAAGATACAAAATAATGAATTCAGTGTTAGCCAGCAATACCTGTTTATATCAAAAGTGCATGTCTAGCTAGCCCCCTTTTTTTCCAATTTATCCTTTATAAGTTTGTTTTCATAAGTGATGAGAACCTTTACCCCCACTGGAGTACTGTATGGTAAGAATATGTGTTCAGATGGTGCTCGATAGCACCCAATGCCTACTATCAGCGGAAGGAAACTATCACCAACTAGGCAATAGGATAAAGGAGAGGATCTTGTTGCACTCCTTACTGGATATCCCACACAATGGGGAGGGTGCTCCTAATGATTGCGGGTGGCACCACTGTATTCATAGATTGGTTGTGAAGAGTGTCACCAGCACACCAAAAATCCTTTCAGGATCACAAAATGCTCATTTTATTGAACAATTTGTCAAAAACAAGCACTTTCGGGGCCACGCAGGGTTCCTTCATCAGGCTTAACAGAATAGTTAAACCCGAGCTTTATAGCCCTTGTATGTGTTGATTGATGTCCATCGTTATACCCAATGATATGTCAGTAGAGTTAAGTCGGGTGCGCAAAACAAGCCGTGCCATGCTTAGGATAAAGCACAACTTGTTTTGCACCCCCGGCTTAACTCTACTTACCTGATGAAGGGACCCTGTGTGCCCTCTAAAGTGCTTGTTTCCGTTTTTGACTAAAGGTGTTCAATAAAATTAGCATTTGGTGATCAAGAAAGAAACCACTGAAGAGGAAGGCAGCATCATGTGTGGTGTTCTCAGAGGGCAGCTAGGAGAGGGCTCAAGGTTCTGCAGTTGCAGCGGGTGATAGAATAAGGATCTTGCCATTTTTTCCCCTCTGACCTATGACCTATGGAATGTAAGGATTTCTCTGCATTACCTTACTTTTGTTTTTCTTCTTCTAATTGAAAGCTAACAAAACAGCAAATGATATCCCGTGGTGGGTTAGTGTCCTTGTCCATGAGGCCAGAGTACCTTGTACGTCTGCTCTATCTCGATGGGTTCTTGTGGTCTTTTTATCAGATCGTTAAAGCAAGGTCTGGAGCGCCTGCTGGTTGTGTTTAGGTTCCACCGACTTTAGGAAGCTGTGGATCCAAAGATTTCTGCAGTGGGCCCAGTTGTGAAAGTTTTTAACCTGTCTCTGCATGAAGTGTGTGTTGTGATGAGAAGTTACTCGCTGCAGTTCCTGTAGACAGACCATGGTGGTTCTTGTCTCTGCAAGTCTGGCTGCAACCGAGCAGAGATCTTCTTTAAATTCTGGTATGGCCCTCAGAGTGATTTCTGACCCACTACCTTAGGTTCTTCCACTTGGCCCATTACCCTGTTTGTTGAGTCTGATGAAACCTTGGGCATTGTCTGATTACATTGATGACTGGGCTCGGACGATTTTCAGTTAGTTGTGCCCCAGCTGAATGTAGTTGGTGGGAGAAAGTGCCAAGTTTTTCCCACTGTACTGGTTTCCGAGGTGTGTGAAAAAGCCCTCTAGTGGCTAGGTTGTTCCTCTTAGGCCCCCATTCTCACCATAGCTTTGCACAAATGCGTGTTGCCATGACGCACGTTCATACGTGTTCGAGGGTCGTTTGTTTCCCAGGTTTGGCACACCCCCCCATTAATTTCTTTTTTTTTTTTCAATCAGATATTATTTATTTGTTTGTTTTTTCCTTTCCATACATTGTGAACATTGACAATAAATCCACAGCCCAAAACAACTAACAAAGCAAAAACAAAAAAACAAGAGAAAAACCCACAAAAAACACACACACAAAACATTTCTATCTATCTTTATTCTATTTACTATTGCCCATTTCTTTCCCTCTTCTTCCACTTATAATATTATATTTTGTCCTCTTAATCCAGGAGGTCTCAAGTCCGATTAATATTCATATTTTCAATCCACCTATTCCAAATTCCCTGAAATTTACCTGACTGGCCCCTCATCCTGTAAGTATGTTCTTCAAACCGAACATATTTACTAGCCTCAGCTTTCCATTCTTCAATTGTAGGGGGATACTTTGAAGTCCATTTGAATGCTATTAATCTTCTAGCCAGAAACAGTAGCCTTTTTATTGCTAAAGTGCTGTTATTATCTAGATAGTCAGAGTTGAAACCTCCTAGAATACATGTTAATGTGTTAATATCCACTATATTTCCATATATTATATTTAAACATTCAATCACCCCTATCCACTACCTTTTTAATTTTGGACATCTCCATAATAAATGAATAAGTGTACCTTCCTGATGCTTGCATCTCGCACACTTTGGGTCTGTACGGGCCCCTATTTTATATAAAAACTCCGGGGTTCTGTACACCCTATGTATAATAAATATTTGGGTTAATCTATGTGATAAAGAAAGAGACACATCTTGCACTCCTTGAAGTACTGCCCTCCATGTTTCCTCATCAATTATGCCTATATCCTCTGTTCAGCGCTCCCTGCATATCAATGGAAATTTCCTTAGTTCCTTTTTTAAAAAACAGTAATACACCCGGGAAATTATCCCCTTAGACTTCTTAGCTTTAACTACCTGATCTATCAAGGGAGTTGGAGCAAAGCATGCTGCTGAAACCACAGCTTGCGCACTCAACGCATGTCTTAGTTGCAAATATTGAAAAAACATTTTATTCTCCAATTGGTATTCTACTCTTTTTTACAAAGTCTTTTATTGGTTTTTAAGTTGTTGTTTTTTACAAAAGGAAAATATAACATCGTTGCATATAGGGTTACATACATATACAATGGTAACACACAAGCGTATGGAACATCGTGTTGGCCGTGGAACAGTTTTACAGACAAATAAACAATATGATGTGCCTGTCAGGCAACTAACTGTATGTAGTCATCAGATGGTATTCTACTCTTAGTTGGTCATATGTCTTAAACACCCCCCCCCCCCCGGTGACAGGGTATTCGTTAACTTAAAAGTTCTATTTGTAATCAAGCTGGGGGAGTTATGTAATAAATATAATAGCTGGGGCATCCATATCATTTTTAAAAGGTTAGTACGGCCTGCTACTGATAACGGGAGTCTACACCAACTCTTACTTTGTTTTTTGAATCTCTGCAGTACAGGACAGAGATTGAGCTCTACATAGTCTGTTATTTGTCTAGATATCGTCACCCCCAAATATTTAAAAGAGTTCACAACCATCAACGGGAAGGCGGACTGCTCGAGGCCATCTGGGAGAGGATCTATCGGTAGCAAGGCAGACTTATCCTAGTTGATACATAATCCGGAGTACTCCCCAAATTCCGAAATAATTGCCATTGCTGCTGGGAGGGACCACCCCCATTTATTTCAATAGAACTTTGGAACGCACGCCAAACCCAGGAAAGTGGTTCATGTAGAAAAATCTGCAACATGCACTCTGCATTTTTGCAGGCGCGCATGTGGTGATATTACCTAGTAATGACACCACGAGCGCGTTCCACGTTTGGTGTGTGTTTCGTGAACTTACATAAAAGGTTTCCCCCCATTTGGTGCACGTTCACGGAATGCGATGGTGTGAATGGGGGGCTAACATGCGTCTTTTTTTAGCGTGTCAAACTACACTGCAACTGCTTTTAATGAAACATTTTAATAGTTAGCCATAATATGATAATTTTTATTGCTTTTTGAAAGTGCACATTCTTCATCACACAGGTGAAATGAGCCCTATGGTTGTGGAAACACTCAAACTTGGAATATCGATTCTAAACGGCGGCAATACCGTAGTACAACAGGTAACGTGTAGCACTATTCTTTCTTTACACTTTACTCATCAATGAGGGAGATATGAGTATGAAAGCACTGGGCTTACAGTAACTCTTGAAACAGTAGATCACAGGAGAGCTGTGGGATGTTATTCACAGAATACTTCTTGAGACACTTAACATATGTTCATAATAAGAGAAACATGGCAGGAATCTTGACTTAAACTTTCAATTCCTTGAACACTGTATCTCTAAATCCAGTTTCTTAAAAAAGGGCAGTTGGCTAAATACTATAAATAGACTATATACAGCTGATAAGTTTGTATGTCCACTTCTTTTAGATTTTATTGTTTGACTGATTACTTTATTGTCTGTGAGTGTTCTAAAATGGGTTATTCTGTTTAAATGAAACTTCTCTCATTTGATTGTATTTATTTTCGCAGAAAATGTTAGACTACTTGAAAGAGAAAAAAGATGCTGGATTCTTCCAGAGTTTGTCTGGCCTAATGATGTCATGCAGGTGAGTAGGT